ACCACCCTGAGTGCCCTTCAAAGCAGCTGTTTGAATGCGAAGACAGGAACCCGTGGGCCAGGGGATGGGGAAACGCCATAACAAGAGTCGGAAGTCACAACCAGCCTTGTATGGTTGTTCGGGACAGACGGCTGAGAGCAAAAGTGTGCGTCCAAGTGACGACTCTGTAAACTGTCATCGGCCACATGCAGAGAATTTACCTGACAGTCAAATTAAGGAGGACCGTGACCGCCAGCAGTGTCTGGTTGTTCAGCGCTTTTCTGAATAGAATGCAGCCATACCTGAAAATGGTATCTCTGAGGATCTTTCTTCTTGCCCGTGTCTGCTAAACCAATTACTCCAGGCGGACATTGAAGTAAGGGTCCTGAAGGCATTCCGGATAGGAAAACGAAGCGAAGACAAGACAGTAACAATACCACCTCGTCCTCTCGAAATTATGCTATACAACAAGGAGCAAATAAGGTGTTCCTCTAAAAAAACCGACCTTAAACGCACGCACGCACACAAACAGGTTTTGCCAATCGGATTACTCACCAACGGAACGACTAAAACGCCCGGAACTCGCCTTGATATTAAAATCGAGGGTAAAGGGTGGAGAATACAACCTGGCTGTCTACAAGGGGAAAGAAGTTCGAAAACATATGCCGTTTCAGCGGGACCGACCAGTAATACTAAGAGCGACGGCAGCTTCTCAGTTAGCACAGACACCTTCGTGGAACCAGCTGCTCAAGTCAACAGAATAAGTAAGCCCTAACATTATGATCATGGGTGACCTCAACGCACATGGAATTAACTGGGACACCCTCCAAGCGTCAGGTCCAAAATCGACATTTGATTACCGTCTGCTGAACAAAACATTAAATGCGTCTCTCACATCGCATGTAGTGTTCCCAGCGAGAACACGTGAAGGACAAACGGAAAACTGCCTGGATCTGGTTTTTACGAAAGTATAGGACAGCATGGATGAGGTCATCTCCATGCCGCCCCTTGGTCGAGGTGACCGTGTAGTGCTTATGTAGGATTATTCGTTATTCGTCATTTCGCATACACCAGGCCAAAAAAGACGCAGTGTTTGGTGGGGCGACTGCAATCAGATGAGGGCAGACTTATCCGGTCTCGACTGGAGCTCATTGATTTCGTGCACTGTCAACGTTGACTAGAAGTTGTTTAAGAATATCCTTCTGCAGCACATCAAGAACCCCAGCCCACTGAACAGTGCAAGAATGGACAAACGCCTGGGTGGCCAAATAGAAACCTGAAGAAAGAAATCAACAGGGAGCACAAATTGTGGAGAAAGTACTGCGTCACTGGGCAAGTTGAATACTTCAGCACGCAAAAGACACAGGAACGAACTGAGAAACATGATTATGCTCGGCACGTCGCGGACACCTTCGTTATCGTCAAACGAAAGATAATCAAATAATTTCGCAGCATCCCGAATTCTGCTTTACCAGACATCTAATCCACATTGAAGTCGGAAAGCAATAACCAACTGCCCTTTCTGGA